GGGCATGTCTTGGCGCAGACGCCAGCTCACCTGGACCTTTCAGCGGCTACAGCGGGGCTCTGAAGCCCAGGTTTTTGCATGCAGACATCATCGATGGGGAAACCGGGCACCTGGGAAAGCAAGAAAGTTAATAGATTCACTTCCATCAATAACTTCTTTACCCACTCTGCTTCTACCTCCCACCAGTAGCACTCATCCAGCTCCTCCATCCACAGCACGCTCAGCCTGAGCTCTGCAGGTGAGCTCCCCATATCTCTCTCCTTCCCTTCAGGGCTCAGACAGGCTCTCTCCATTCTAGGAGCACTTCTCTAACCTCTGTGTGTTCCAAGAAAGGTTGTAATATTAAAGCCTACCTGAAATCCTTACCTACTAAGCGGAACTTTGCACTGGTCACTAGGCTGGAACATATCTACAAGCAGGAAATTGCTTACCATAAGAAAGATATATGCACCAGGCTGGAGAACTTGGAGCAAGTCTCTGAAGAATACACCAGAGCCCTGGGCTCTCATGAGGTCACTTTGAACGAACATACAGTTCTCATGCACTAACTTCTCTATCAACAAGATGATATACAGAATCGCAATAGACGCAATAATATCTGGATTGACGCATTACGGGAATCTGTTGAAACAAAAGATCTACCATCCGCAGCACTTGTCATCTTTAATAAACCCTTACAGAATTCTTTCATCGAGATTGACTGCATTCATAGGGCTTTGGGCCCCAGGAACCCAGATGCTGCATTTCCTAGAGATATTATCTGTAGGATTGATTTCTACAAGATTAAAGCTGAGATCCTCTAAGTGGCCAAACAACAAGATACAATTTTGTTTATGACACCCCTGTCATGTTGCTGCTTGATCTGTCTCATCTAACTTCATGACCATGGATAAGGTGCTCTAACCTATCACCAAAGCTCTTCTCACCAGAAACATCAAGTATTCATGGGGTGTTCCTTTTCAACTGAAAGTAACACACAATGGAAAAAACGCTAATTTTCATACCTAAGGTAGGATCTGCCCTACCTTTTAGGGGCGCTGGAACTTCCTAACATCAATCTCCCTGATTGGCCTTTAAAATTGACATCCCCAAGTTTGCCTTTTGTCTCTTCTGATCACCAGTGACAATGCCAATCTAGGAAGAAGCTTTCCCTATCTAACCCTCGGAGGTCTCCTGAAGACCGATTTGACTACATCGGTTCAGATGCTTTTTGGCGTTTATGGCCGTTGGTACTCTGCACTTATTTTCACCTGTGGTGAAATGATATTTATTCTTCTTCACCTGTTTCCTTGACTTTTTGCTGAGTGTGACTGTTTAGCCCTGCTGTAGCCTTCCTATTGCAGTTTGAGGTGCTTTTCCTGTTTGCTCTTAGTCAGTGCTCCTACCACCCCTCACATATGGCTTACTTGCTTCTTGTCAGTTGTAATGGGCATGGTATTGACACAGCTCCAGATGATCCACATTGGCTCACAATTGATATTATCTAAAAATATTTAGACAGAATAAAGGTGAATAATGCACCTGAACAGGATGGCATACACCCATGGGTCCTTAGAAATTGGAGCTCTGTCATTTCAAAGCCATTGTTTCTAATTTTTAGGGACTCTTTAATAACTGGCATATTACGACTGGATTGGCATAAAGCCATTGTGGTGCAAATATTTAAAAAGGGGTCAAAATCTTTACCAAGTAATTATAGACCTGTTAGTTTAACTTCTATAGTTGGGAAGATACTGGAGAGTTTAATAAAAGACCACATAGATGACTTTTTGCTGGAAAAAAATATTTTAAGCAACAGACAGCATGGATTCATGAAAGACAGAAGTTGTCAAACAGATCTGATTTCTTTTTATGAGGAGGTGAGCAAAACCTTGGAAAGAGGGGTGGCGGGGGACATGGTATACTTGGACAGAGGGGTGGCTGCGGACATGGTATACTTGGATTTTGCAAAAGCGTTTGACACAGTTCCCCACACATGGCTAATGTGTGAGGTAAAGTCTACAGGCTTGGAAAAATCCATATGTAAATGGATAGAAAACTGGCTAAAAGATCGTATTCAAAGAGCAGTGGTTAATGATTCATACTCTGAATGGTCTGGGGTTTTCAGTGGTGCACCCCAAGGTTCAGTGTTGGGACCCTTACTTTTTTATATATTTAGAAATGATATAGGGTCTGGGATTGAAAATCACATTTCAGTCTTTGCAGATGACACCAAGCTGTGCAGTGCAATGATGTCCTTACAGGATGTCTCCAACTGACAAGCTGACCTCAATGCACTGCTTAATTGGGCAACTATGTGGCAAATGAAGTTTAATGTTGATAAATGTAAAGTTATGCACTTGGGGGCTAAGAATATGCATCAAACATACTAGGGGGGTACAACTGGGGGAATCAATGGTGGAGAAGGATCTGGAGTTCTGGTAGATCACAAGCTTAATAATGGCATGCAATGCCAAGCTGCGGTTTCTAAAGCAAGCAAAATTCTCTCTTGTATTAAATGAGGTATAGACTCCAGAGAGAAAGATATCATATTACCCGGATACAAATCATTAGTAAGACCTCATCTGGAATATGCAGTTCCGTTTTGGGCACCAATTCACAAAAAGAACATTAGGGAAATGGAGAAAGTACAGAGAAGGGCAACTAAAGAGGCATGGAGGAGCTCAGCTATGAGAAAAGATTAGAGGAACTGAATGTATTCTCTCTTGAGAAGAGGAGATTAAGGGGGGATATGATCAACATGTGTAAATACATGTCACAAGTTAGCCTGCAGTTTCGTTTGTGTTCTTACCTTCTTGCTGCAGTTCTGTTCCTGATCCCTTTAGATGTGTGTTTGTCTGTGCTCACCTATGGACATCATCTGCTGTCCTCTGGGTTTTATTTCCTTCCATCACTTCCTGTCCCACCTCCTTGTCTGCCTGTCTATATAACATGTGCTCAGACTAGGCCACTTTGCCTGAGCAACTTCTAGTTGTTGGAGCTCCGTGTGTGTCTGCTTTTGATTCTTATGTTGTCTACTTGTGTACCGACCCCGGCTTTGTCTCCTGACCTTGATTGTTTTCCACCTGTCCTGACCTGACCTCGGCCTGCCTATTGGATTCCGTCTGTCTTCTCCCGTTATACTTTGCTCCTGCGAGCGGTCTCCTCCACCTCAGCTGGGTGTACCTGGGGGCCGCGACCTGGTCGCAGCTTGCTGCAAGTCCATCCCCACCATCAGGGGCTCTGCTGAACAAGCAGGCTGGGGCTTAGACTCCGAGCCCTGGAGAACCCCAAGTTGAGGATCAGTAGAGCTCACTACCTCAGGCGTTGACATACATCAGTGGTTCATATAGTGAACTTGGTGTAGAGCTATTCACCCTGAGGTCATCACAGAGGACAAGGGGGCACTCTTTACATTTAGAGGAAAAGAAATGTAATCTCCAAACATGGAAAGGTTTCTTCACAGTGAGAGCTGTGAAAATGTAGAATAGGCTCCCTCAAGAGTCGATTCTGACCAGCTCAGTGGATTATTTTAAAAAAGGCCTGGATTCTTTCTTAGATACACAGAATATAACTGGATACTAACATTTATAGGCAATGTTGATCTAGGAAATATCCGATTGCCTCTCGGGGGATCAGGAAGGAATTTTTTTCCCTGCAGGAGCAATTGGATCATGCTTTGCTGGGTTTTTTTTGCCGTCCTCTGGATCAACTGTGGGTATAGGATTATAACTTTTTTTTTTTAATGGCTGAACTGGATAGACTTTTGTCTTTTTTCAGCCAGACTAACTATGTAACTATGTACCACATGTCATGTCAGAGAGTGCCTTCAATAAAGAGGGGGACATTTGTTACTGAGAAACTGATTTTGAATAAAATGAATTTGACCTGGACAACAGAGGACTACCAAACACCCACTGCAGATGCTACTTACAAAATGAACATATTTATTTTATATATTGTACATTTAACCAATAAAAAGTCAAACATTTTTGGGGTATATTGCGATACGGAACGAGGTTGTGGTGCACATGTGGTGAAGGTGTGTTGTATTTTGGGTGTACAGTTTTTTATATTTTTTTTTTTTTGCTCACAGGATGCTGTGAAAATTGGCAGCTTGAATAAACATTCAGCAATCTACCTTATTAGCTTTAATCCCCTCAAGCTAAAAGTTTTAACAAAACAGAATAGGAAAATATCCTATGTAATGGAAAAAACAGTTGCTAAGGTGTTAATAATTGAAGAGCTAACTATTAATCAGTTGTTAATTGAGCCTGACAAATATTGCTCCTGTAAAGGACATCAAGCAAATTACAAAGCAGGACATTTCTTATTTCGCAAAGCATTTGGTATTTCATATTTATTTAGGACCCCTGATCCTACAATTCTGGGCAGCCAGCACTGAACACATTTTGTGAAGATCTGCAAAAGATTTGTTTTGGATTAGACATATTTTCACACAAAACACACACAGAATTGAGAAGTGATCAGGAAAGCATTTTAGTTGTAGCAGTACTACTTTGGACCATCAGCTTGCCATGTCATCAGCTTGCCATGTATCATATTTATGTCTTTTGTTGTTTCTATGAGGTTCTCTATATTGTGACTTATGTGATAATGCCCTTTTTCTCTTCTGTAAAAAATTTACTAAGGAATATGTGTACTATTTTGCCTATTTAAGTGTCTCATAGTGCTCTGGGAATCCTTTGCCATGTAATAAATATCAATTTTTAAAAGAAAAACTATGGGTTGATTTTCTAAAACTGGAAAGTGCAAAATCTGGTGCAGATGTGCATGGTAGCCAATCAACTTCTAACTTCAGCTTGTTTAACCGTCTCCCGCCCGCCATATAGTCCAATGATGGATGCAAGGCAGTTCTCTTGTTCTGGGAGGACATCATATGACGTCCTCCCATTCTCACCACGCATGTGCGGCTTCGGGAATGTGCAGCGCGGCGATCGGAGGTGCACTGTGTCCCTCGGACACAGCGGATCACCGATCCACGGAAAGAGCCGAAGATGTCAGCTCGGTCATGTGATCAGCTGTGCCCAATCACAACTGATCGCATGTAAACAGGGAAATGCAGGTTATCGGCATTTCTCTCCTCACGAGCTGTCACACTGTCACGGAGAGGAGAGCCAGTAATCAGCATTCTTTGGAGGGGACATGTGCACTGATCATCAGGGCACTGATGATCAGTGTGCCCTGATGATCAGTGTAGCCCCAGCAGTGCCATCTGTCAGTGGCCATCAGTGCCAGCTCTCAGTGCTCATCCATGCCACCTGCCAGTGCCCATCAGTGCCACATCAATGCCACATATCAGTGCCTACCAGTGCACATCAATGCCACATATCAGTGCCCATCTGAGCCGCCTTTCAGTGTCACCCATCAGTGCCAGTCAGTGCCATCTATCAATGCCAATCAGTGCCACCTATCAGTGCTGCCAATCAGTGCCGCCTATCAGTGCCAGTCAGTGCTGCCTATCAGTGTGCATCAGTGCCGCCTATCAGAGATCGTCAGTGCTGCCTATCAGTGCCGCCTAACAGTGCCAGTCAGTGCCAACTAACAGTGCCAATCAGTGCCACCTATCAATGCCACCTATCAGTGCCACCTATTAGTGCCATATATCAGTGCTGCCTTTCAGTGCCCATCAGTGCCAAATACCGGTGCCTCCTCATCAGTGCCACCTATCAGTGCCCATCACTGCAACCTCATTAGCGCACATCAGTGAAGGAGAAAAATCACTTATTTACAAAATTTTATAACAAAAACTAAAAAATATTTTCAGTGGTTTTTGGTTTGTTTAAGAAAAAATAAAAAACCCAGAGGTGATTAAATACCACCAAAATAAAGCTCTATCTGTCGCAAAAAAATGATACAAATTTAATATGGGTACATATGGGTTGCATGACCGCGCAATTGTCATTCAAAGTGTGACACAGCACTGAAAGCTGGAAATTGGCCTGGGCAGGAAGGGGGTATAAGTGCCCTGTAGGCTAGTGGTTAAATAACCACTTCAATACTGGGAACTTTTACCCCATTCCTGCCCAGGCCAATTTTCAGCTTTCAGCTCTTTCACATAGCAATCTTTGAATGACAATTGCGTGGTCATGCAACTAAATGTTTTTCATTTTGTTCACACAACTAGAGCTTTCTTTTGGTGGTATTTAATCAACACTGGGGTTTTTATTTTTTGCTAAGTTAATGAAAAAAGACCAAACATTTTGAAAATCTTTCTTTCTTTTATAAAAGTTTGCAAATTGTTCTTCATAAATTTAGACCAGGAAGTATTTTGCTACATTTCTTTGGTAAAAATAACCCAAATAAGTATTTATTATTTAGTCTGTAGGAAAGTTAAAGAGTTCACAAACTGGTATACAGTATATCTGAAAACTGTTCAATCCTGAAGTACTGACAGCCAATCTAATTTTTTGAGATCCAAAAATGTCAGGACAGTACAGATATCCCCCAAATGACCATTTTTTTGCAAAATAGACAGTCTGAGGTATTTAGTAAGAGGCATGGAAAGGTTTTTGAAGTTGTAATTTTTTTGTCATAATTGTTTGGAAAATGAAGAAATTAAAAACATATTTTCACAAATGTTTTATTTTTTAACATACTGTCACCAGTGCAGTACAGTGTCATCATAAAACTGGTGTGGGACACTGACTGGTGACAGTACAAAAATAAATAATAACATATTATTTTTAACTTTTTACATTTTTTCATTTTGTTTTTAATTACATTTTTTTCTCAAGATTTTTTTCCATAATACACTGTGACCAGAGTAGTATAATGTTACCATAGTAACATTGTACTACTTTGGGGAAGTAATCGGTATTTAGTTATACAAAGATACTTATTTGAATATTTTTTGTTGTGATTAGCTGTGAGTGGCCACGGGTAATAACATGAAACAGATGGGCTGTGATTGGTCCTAGTGATCACATGTACAGACTGGGCCAATGACAGCAGCTAGTGACACAATTGTATACAATGGATGGCATGAAAGGAAGCCATCCATTATTTACAATTGTCATGTGACCTGCTGTGATTGGTCACAGCAGGTCACATGGTACTGGCAATGGGCCACTACACAGTTCTGCCAAGGTACACAGCCCGTGACAGATCTTGCCACAGCGCAGCCCCATGGGCATGTGCAAGGCATCATCCGGGAAGGACGTCATCGACGAGAGTCCCTCTCGGCCATCATTCTACTATTGGCTGGCGAGAACAGGTTAAGCTTTCAATTAAGACAAAAACGTGGATGCAAAAAAACCTGGAAGCTGATTGGTTTCTATGCAGAGCCCCTATATTTGAATAAAAAGATTATATTATAGTGAAAAAAAAAAATAAAAAAAAAAAAAAAAATATATATATATATATATATATATATATACAGTGGGGCAAAAAAGTATTTAGTCAGCCACCAATTGTGCAAATTCTCCCACTTAAAAAGATGAGAGAGGCCTGTAATTGGCATCATAGGTAGACCTCAACTATGAGAGACAAAAGGAGAAAAAAATCCAGACAATCACATTGGCTGATTTGGAAAGAATTTATTTGCAAATTATGGTGGAAAATAAGTATTTGGTCAATATCAAAAGTTCATCTCAATACTTTGTTATATATCCTTTGTTGGCAATGACAGAGGTCAAACGTTTCCTGTAAGTCTTCACAAGGTTGGCACACACTGTTGCTGGTATGTTGGCCCATTCCTCCATGCAGATCTCCTCTAGAGCAGTGATGTTTTGGAACTGTCGCTGGGCAACACGGACTTTCAACTCCTTCCAAATGTTTTCTATGGGGTTGAGATCTGGAGACTGGCTAGGCCACTCCAGGACCTTGAAATGCTTCTTACGAAGCCACTCCTTCGTTGCCTGGGCGGTATGTTTGGGATCATTGTCATGTTGGAAGACCCAGCCACGTTTCATCTTCAATGCTCTGCTTGCTGATGGAAGGAGGTTTGCACTCAAAATCTCACGATACATGGCCCCATTCATTCTGTCCTGTACATGGATCAGTCCTCCTGGTCCCTTTGCGGAGAAACAGCCCCAAAGCATGATGTTGCCACCCCCATGCTTCACAGTAGGTATGGTGTTCTTTGGATGCAACTCAGCATTCTCTCTCCTCCAAACATGACGAGTTGTGTTTCTACCAAACAGTTCTATTTTGGTTTCATCTGACCATATGACATTCTCCCAATCCTCTTTTGGATCATCCAAATGCTCTCTAGCAAACTTCAGACGGGCCCGGACATGTACTAGCTTAAACAGGGGGACACGTCTGGCACTGCAGGATCTGAGTCCCTGGCGGCGTAGTGTGTTACTGATGGTAGCCTTTGTTACGTTGATCCCAGCTCTCTGCAGGTCATTCACTAGGTCCCCCCGTGTGGTTCTGGGATTTTTGCTCACCGTTCTTGTGATCATTTTGACCCCACGGGGTGAGATCTTGCGTGGAGCCCCAGATCGAGGGAGATTATCAGTGGTCTTGTATGTCTTCCATTTTCTAATTATTGCTCCCACAGTTGATTTGTTCACACTAAGCTGCTTGCCTATTGCAGATTCAGTCTTCCCAGCCTGGTGCAGGTCTACAATTTTTTTTCTGGTGTCCTTCGACAGCTTTTTGGTCTTCACCATAGTGGAGTTAGGAGTGTGACTGTTTGAGGTTGTGGACAGGTGTCTTTTATACTGATAGCAAGTTCAAACAGGTGCCATTGATACAGGTAATGAGTGCAGGACAGAGGAGCCTCTTAAAGAAGAAGGTACAGGTCTGTGAGAGCCAGAAATCTTGCTTGTTTGTAGGTGACCAAATACTTATTTTCCACCATAATTTGCAAATAAATTATTTCCAAATCAGCCAACGTGATTGTCTGGATTTTTTTTTCTCATTTTGTCTCTCATAGTTGAGGTCTACCTATGATGCCAATTACAGGCCTCTCTCATCTTTTTTTAAGTGGGAGAACTTGCACAATTGGTGGCTAACTAAATACTTTTTTTCCCCACTGTATATATATATATATATATATATATATATATATTGTGGTTATGTGTTCCAATTTTAGGTCATTAAAGTGTTTTGTTTACTATAGCAATTCACTATGAAATTATCCCTTTATATGTCCTGGCCGACCAGGAGGACCAGTCCTCCTTGATATTTCAATTTCTAAGTCCACCTCCTACACCCGTTGACGTGGTAGCTTATTTGGTGAAGCGGAAAATAGCTGGTATAGTGCTGAGATGCCTCCTCTCAAGCCTGTATCTTGCATACATCTATTCTCAAATATTGTTCTTGTTGTGATATCCTCCATTGATTGTTTGTATTATTATTAAATTTATTAATCAGGATTTATATAGTGTCAATAGTTTATGCAGTGCTTTAAACTATAAGGGCAGACAGTACAATTACAATACAATTTAATACATTCTGAATCAGAGCTTATAATCTAAGAGAGAGGGTCAAGAGATACAAAAGGTAATAACTATAGGGGGATGAGCTGATGGAGAAAATAAAAGTACAGTTGTTAGGCGAGGGCAGGGTAGGCCACTGTGAAGAGAAGAGTTTTCAGGCATTGTCTAAAAGTGGACATACTAGGAGATAGTCAGACAGATTGGGATAGGGAGTTCCAGAGGATGGGCGAGCCTCTGGAAAAGTCCTGGAGGCAAGCATAGGAGGGGGTGGCAGGGGAGCTAGAGAGCAGGAGGTCTTGGGAGGAATGAAGAGAATGTTTAGGTTAGTATGTTGAGACTAGGTTATTGGTGCAGCTGGGGGAAAAGTAGTGGATGTCTTTGTAAGTTGTAAGTTGTTGTTAGTATTTTGAATGTAATTCATTGGGTTGCACTTGGATACAACATACTTTGGAGGGAGATATCTTAAGCATTTGAAGGAAATATTGCAGTTGTCTGGGTCCTTTATGATCTATAACATGAGATTTGTTTATCCACCATGAAAAATGGTGAGGGAGGGACTAGGCCTGGAGGAAACTCTGGGTTGTTAAAAAGAGGGGCTTCTGGTGTGTGGGAGGATTTCAGGAAGGATATCTTGCAAGTCTTGTCCCAAAGCTGTAAAGAGGGAAATAAGGAGAGACATAATACTGCCTTATGGTTCTTTGAATGCATCCACATAATGAGATCAGGTGGGTGTGGGGCAACAGCTTGGCATTCAAGTTTGATCCAGTACAGTTTATATTTAGTAAAGTAAATGTGTGATCATTGAATCAGTTGTTCCACTTTGTAATATCTCATGAGATGTGGAACTCCCAAATCTTCAGAGCCATTAGGGGCATATAAATTTTTGCAGGCCACTCTACAGCCTTTCGATTTCCATATGTATTTGAATATGATAGTCTGAAGTTTTGTGAAATGGGAAAAGGGGACTGGGACTGGTAAAATGTGGAAATAATATAACATTCTTAGTAACATTTTTAGTGTGGCTATCATTC